GCCATAAATGGTTTGTCAGAAAACATATGAAGACTACCTTAATGGCATTTCAAAAAACAACAAATCAGTCGTTAAAAAAACGATTAAAAGTTGTTATCTGTATCAAATTCGATAAGTAAACGAAATTGCATCTAATGGAATGTTCCCATAAGTGTCTTACTTGTTGTAGACAATGCTCTTCATTTTTTAATCCACCTAAAACTTCACCTAGTAGTTTGGTATTACCAAAGAATTTTCAATTGGTAATATGAAATCTGAGAAAAATTCAATTACAACGTTCACAATACTATTAGCAATCCACTTTTTACATACGATAGTGACATCGTTAGTAAGTACTATTCAGATATTACTCGCCAATATGAATAAGAACTTTGCTCATCGTGTTGTCAGTTATTACGGATTCTGTTTACAGAAATTATGAAGGACCAACTCCTAACCTCATCACTGGCCTAATACCTCTTCACTCTTCAGATTAACTGTTAATTTAAGCAAACTCGTTATTCCTAGAAACTAGAAACGGATGTAGACCGATATTCAATAAAGCCACTAGAGAAGCGAACCAAAGGGGCTTAATTTTCCCACACTATGAATCCACATGTGCAGGATCTACATAACTTCAATTTCCAGGCAGTGGTCATGAAATTGTAGCCTGTTAGGTCCCGATAAACATAATGATCGGCAACTTTTTGGGATCCATTTATGGACCAATACTACGCGTATATTTTTACCACATAATTAGTTAACAATTGAACTGTTCATATTCATATCCCTCTTATTATGAGCTTTATTTTCACCTGTGAACTATTATTATACGGTCTACCATTGTTGAATTATGCTTTGTCTATTAATTACTACCTCTATCATTCACAGCCACATTTGTCTGATTCTTATACAAATGTTGTTTCATATTTTATGGTACGGTGTGGTCTGTCTGGTTGGTATATAAGCCTGTCAATTTTTTGACGGCAAAGGCCAATGCACTTCAAATGGAACTAAAAATCTTCCAGGTTTTTTGAGAAACACCGACTGATCCTGCACCAGATTTCTACCACTTGTTCTTTGTTAGGATGTTTTCCATTTCTCTTGGTACTGCATTAGAATAACAGTAGCAATAATAATTTGTTGCAGTCCAAAGGCATGCATGGAACCTATTGGTAACGTTGAATAAGTTTGGTTCCTGTGTCACTATTTATTCACAATTTCTGGGTTGGCAGTAGGTTACAGTCAACTGTATGGTATTTCGCTCTGGATTTAGACGATGATACTACGTCTGCTAAATACGAAACTGTGTTATAGGGCAATAAATACAAGATTGTATCAAACATGTATAATTTGCTTAGTATTTGAGTGTGTTAGAGTTGTCCAATGTCTATTCGTCGACTTGTCACGAATATTTATAGATTGAAAAAATGATGAAATAGAAGATTGTTAGACAGACAACTTATTCATATTTCCAACTAACCACACGCATATGTTGGTCAACGGAACTGAAGTGATACATTTGATAATAACATTATGTCACATTTCGTATACCGATTGCGAATATCAAGTTGCATGGATTTGAAATGGATGTGTCATTAATCGAGATTGACAAACCAGTGTGTTACTGACAGGACGCTAATAGCAAATGACCTGAAAAGAGATATGAAATTGTAAGAGTATAATCAAATGGAATCAAAATGATAAGAAGAGTGTACACATAGAGGAATCAAGAGGGACAAGTTACAAGTGTACATACATACACACAATTTTCAAAATGGCTTTAAGACTACCATATTCTCTAGAAAATCGAAGACTGCTTAACACTGACGTTCTTTAGATATAAAAATGCAAACCCAACTTAACTGATATCTTGATTTTCTGAACAGAATTCACATGCGAACAAACAAAAATACAATATCTACAGGTTTTGTAGACGTAAAAATGCCAGTTACGTACAGTATTGATCCTCAGATATCAACATATATTGTAAGTAATTGTTAATACTAGAGAAACACAGAGTGTCTAACGTCGTACAGAATATTTTCAGAGACATCACACATCCTACTTACTGTTCATACATTTTGTCAATATAGGGTTATGTAGATCATCAAGTTTTTGATTGGTATCAGTAACCGATCGACGTAAGACAACCATTCAAAACCTGGGAGTACTGGTAGGCCGTTTTGCTCTATTGTGGGTCGCATCAACGATCCCGCTCGTAGGATTCGAACCTCAGGCCTTCAGTCTCGCGCGCGAATACTTTTGTTATGATTGAATGTTGAGAAGTGATCGACAAGTAATATTTGAGGAAAGGATAGAATTAGGAATCCCAGTGCATTATACACTTCACCGTTGGAAGTATACTATATGGTGCCGGAGGTTTCTCGTTCTGTTACCAAATGGAAGACTAGAAAGTTAATTCATCCGTGAATTTCTTTCTTGAATACTGGGTAGCTTGACAACAGATTACTTCAACACCGTTCTCAATGTTTGCCAATATCTAACTTGGAGGTTCGAAATTGTATCAAGTCTTCTTACTTTAAAAAGAATGCTGGGTTTTCGAAAAATGTTTAAATGAGAACAAATCGTAAAGCGCTTAGAATAATAATAAAGCCATTATAGTTTTTCCTGCAATACGCAAGTTTGCAACCGTTGCAAAATAACTGTCGGCAGAATATCGCTTTGATGTATCGCGTAGTCTGTAATCTTCAGCACCTTGATAAAGTTGTGGTACGTTACGTCAATAAAGTGCACTCAGAACGAAACGTTTTCAAACATTCATATATTTTCAGTAAGTTATGAGCATTCATCCTGATAAAATTGATGAAAGCATCTCCTACCGAATCTCTCAGAAGTAAGCCCAAAGAAATTCTAGTTCGCTGATCATTGAAAGAGAATTATATTGTTTTTATTTTACTGAATTTACTAACGTTAACAAGTCACTTTTAACCTTCTAGTTTAGCAGGAAACATAACAAAACCATAACGTTTCTATAGTCAAAAACCCACAGACTTGGCGTCCAAAGGAAAAATTGTTTTTTTAATTTGCCAATCAAGATTAGATTTTTTACACTTTAGCTAGAGTGTATGGTAGTTCACGATTCGTGACCTTGTACACAGAGCGTCTCTTGATTTGAGTTTTCCAAAGACATCATTTCCTGTGCCAGCTGTTTTGTCATATATTCATTCACTTCACTTCCTTTCTTCAAATATTATGCATTACTACTCTTAGAGTATTTTCGACGAAAACAATTAGGATGTTAATAAATTGCTTTATAAGCATATATGCTTGAATATAATGAGTTAAGACTTTAAAATAAGTGGTAATTTCTTCTAACTGAAAATTCACAATAAAAGGTTGATTGAATTTTGTTGGAAACATTTATACAAAGAGCGTATTCATTACCTGATTACTTTCCATCCTTAAAATGTATGAAACATATTAACATATGTTAACGTTGAAAATCCATGAATAACATAATCACAATTACGCTAAATCAACGATTGTATGCTCCGGTTTTGCATATTACTTCCTTTCCTTTAATCTGCTAATTCTTATTAGATCGGAGACCAGAGTTTCTGGTGTTTTGTCAAATGCATTTCATTTTCCTGTTACCTCGGTTGTTGTAGAGTAACGCTCTAATCAATAGATTGAAAATCACTTTCTAGTTTTGCACGTTCTTTCCCAGCATTCTTTCCTCATTAGTCGCAATACTTAAGTAACTTAAGCATATATTTGTCATTGAGATGCGGAAAATCTTATCGTGTTGGTAATCACTTTAACCAAATTTCTAGTTCTGAATTTTATTCTTACCTTATGATAAACATGGAATTGTATGGCGGTATTTGGATAAATGTATGTACTCGTAGAATGGACATATTTTGCAGTTAAAAAATTTAAAATTTGAACTAACAGATACTAAAGACAGTCTATCTAAGTACAAGTACCATTTCATAAGACGAGAAGTTTTATGGTGTAAAATGTCGTACTAAAGTCCAAAGCTGGACTAAAAGCTTACTGATCCCAGACTTATGGTTGCTTCGAGATCCATATTTTTTCGAAGCCTAATTTTAAATCAATCGAAATACTGCAATCCAAATATCCACTATTATTAACCATCTGAAATACTAGTGCAAGTTGTTTTTTAAGTGCATCAGAGAGTTTGTTATAATATCATTTTCATTAACCAGTTTACTGTGATAATCTTCCACATGTTCTTTGGGTTCGCTTCATGAACTTTATTGAAAAATCGCTCTCAGACTACACATCACTGTGTGACGATTCAAAAAATAGATTTATAAATTCACTCAAAAATTCTTTACTTTTAGCACAGCGTAAACTTAAACATGCATTGTCAATAAATTTATTTGATCCAAGAACCGCTTGCCACAGGTTATTCCCTACTGTGCTTTGTACACCTTTAAAGAAAAATACTGGTTCAGGAATTCGTATTCGTAAATGAAACACTGCACTGTATTTCTCAAATTGGACGCCGGTTGACATTATGCATTTTATTCTGATTACTTTTGTCAGTTAGTTATGGTAAACAAGTGTAATAAAACGCTTTTTTGTGTTTGTGTAATTATGGTTGACTTATCAGACCCAGAAAATTGTATATAAGAAAGCTGAGAAACACGAAAGGCACCGTGTAAAAATCGTCTGGTTATTGCTATTTATGTGATTAGAAAAGTTTAACACGGTAAATTGGTACAAGGAAAATATTTCTTTGACTATTCACAAGTATGCTGAATGCTGATTTATGACTTCTCTGGTCGGTTCAAATTCGTAAATCAGGATGTTTGATAATGAGTATTGAAATCCACTTGAACCATTGTTTGTTTATTTCGAAACCATTAATTACCGCTTCAGCTGGTCTTCTTCTTAAAAACATTCATTGTTTCTTTCACTAAATTATGCTGTAAATCATTTTGCTCTGTGTTTATTGGTTTTTAGTCTATGATTTCCGTTAGTTATTGATATCTCGCCCTATAATTGGAATATATACGTGACTTATCATAATGAACAGCTTTCTGTCTACTTATATATATGCCTTTCTGCTGTGGATTTATTCTGTGAGGTCGAAGACAATCAAAAGTAAGTTTTATGTTATGTCTATTGATTACTTTAGATGAAACTGTAAATGCATCTTTACTAAAAGAGGTAACAAAGTGATGAGTGGATATTTTATTCATTTAACTGAAAAAACTATCTGTTCCGTGAAGTGATAGATCAAGATGCATTTGCTGATTTGACAGATAATCATTGTGCAGAACCCATACAAATTATTTATATATCATAAGCGTAAAGTATTGCAAAATAGTTAATACTCCCAGCAAGGGAGGTTTTAGTTTTTTCTGCCTACTGAAAAGGAGTTTTAGCTGAGGATCTAAAATATTTCACCAAACCAAATTAAGGATTATGCTAATATTAATTATCTTGGCTCATTTTTTCTCGGAGCTTCATTTTTAGAAGTATTGGAAGATTCATACACTACAAATTAAATAAGGTTTGCAGTTTCGAATTTAGGAAGCCGTTAGTTTATGAAACGGAGTTTTGCTTTGAGAAACCTTAGTTCAAGATATCAGTTTAGACTAAATCATCATTATTCTGTGAATGCATCAACAAACATACCGTAATGCGCTATCGCTGATTATTTAAGGTTTTACAGCTTTCATCGTTATCTGGTTTCGTATACGTTTCTAGTAGGGCGCTAAACTACAACGCTGTTGCTAACATAAGATTCATAGTGATCAAGCACATCAATCTATTTTCCTGTAATGAAATCTAAAACATACAGTTATACACCAAAAGGTTTTAAAATGTCTGATTTCATGAGAGAAATATGTTTGCTGTTATAAATTTATTTAGGTATGAAATTGATCAGTTATTCAAAATCACATGATAACTTTTCCGATCGTTTAATTTGCTTTACAAAATGTATCAAGTATGATATTTATTTGTCTTAATTAATATGAATGGCCAAATCATGTTGACAGATATGTTGATTTAGTCAAGTTCCGCCATACTGGCGACCCTCTACACCAAACTAACGATGGACTCAAATAGACCATATTGCCATCAGTCATCTTTGGAGAGGGTCGGTACAAGATTGTCGCTCTTTCTGGAGTACCTGCTTGGACTCCGACCACGCCCTAATACGGGCACTCATCTGCTTGCGTCTCACTGGGCGCAAAAAAGCCACAGTGAAAAGACCCATAAGAACTGAGTTGAGTAACGAGAAAACCAAAAGTCGGTTCCAGGAACAACTGAGGTCACACTTAGGTAGTTCTGAAGACGAGGCTGAACCAGATGTTGCTTGGAAAGGCATACAATCAGCTGTGGAAACAGCAGTGACGTCTATTAGTGACTTAAACCACACAGTTACAAAAAACCAGTGGATTTCTTCAAGGTCTATCAGACTGATAAATTCTCGCAAACTCGTCCCATCAGGTTCTGAACATGATGAAGAGCGTAAAGAAATCAGATCTAGGTTAAGAAAAAGTCTAAGGAACAACCGTGAGCAGTGGTGGGTAACGACAGGAAAAGAGATGGAAAAGGCGGCGACTATAGGGAACACAAGACAGCTTTACAGACTATTAAAAGAAACTGGAACTAATAAGTCAAGTGTAAGTGAGATTATTTCGGAAAAAGACGATACTCTCATCTGCTCCCAGTCCAAACGTTTAGAACGATGGGCGAAACATTTTAGAGAACAGTTCGAGTGGTCTTCAGCTACCCTTCAACCACCCTCCATTCCCAGACAATGTGAATGGAACATTGAAGTAGGTCCCCTAAATCTTGATGAAGTTGAGAAGGCTATAGTTAATCTGAAACGAGGAAGGGCAGCCGGTCCAGATGGATTGGCTCCAGAAGTCTTCGAGGATGGTGGTCCAATTTTAGCGATTAGATTGAACAATATTTTAGCTAAGATCTGGGAGTTAGATGTTATTCCATCTGACTGGTCAAAATCACTTATCGTCCCAATATATAAGAAAGGATCAAAATCATCCTGTAACAACCACAGAGGGATTAGTTTAACAAATATAGTATCTAAAATACTAGCCTCGATAATTATCAAACGCTTAACTAAGACTCGTGAACTGCAAACACGAGAGAACCAAGCTGGCTTCAGATCTGGTTGTGGCTGCATCGACCACATATTCACCATTTGTCAGGTTCTAGAACACAGGCTCACTTATCGGGGACCGACGATGGTAGTCTTTCTTGACTTAAAAGCAGCATTTGATTTTGTAGATCGCGAGATTCTGTGGCAGTGTCTGTCATTGAAAGGCGTAGCCCAGAAGTACATAAACCTTGTAAAGGCTCTTTACTCGAACACTACTAGTCGAGTCAGGGCTTATGGCGAACTGTCATCTACTTTTGCAACCTCAAGTGGTGTTCGTCAAGGCTGTCCACTTTCTCCATTTCTATTTAACTTCATCATAGACCTATTGATGGAAATAACATTCTCGTCTACTGAATTCTCCGGTATTGATCTCCTACCAGGAGGTCCACTTATCGACTTAGAATACGCATATAACATAGTCCTGTTTTGTGAAGACGCTGATAAAATGCAGAGTCTTCTGGCAGCACTAAGCAACAATGCCAGAATGTTTGGAATGCGCTTCTCTCCCTCTAAATGCAAGTTGTTGCTTCGGGACTGGTCTGCGTTAACACCTGAACTAAGGATAGGGAGTGAAGTAGTCGAACGCGTTGACAACTTCACTTATCTTGGAAGTCTGATCAGCCCTAATGAGTTGGTATCGGACGAAATTTCAACACGGATTCGGAAAGCTCGTTTGGCTTTTGCCAACTTATGTCACCTGTGGCGAAGGCGAGATATCCGTCTATCAATAAAAGGACGAGTATACTGCGCGGCAGTCCGTTCTGTTTTAATTTACGGCAGCGAAACATGGCCATTAAGAGTAGAAGACACTCGTAAGCTATTAGTATTTGACCACAGATGCCTTAGAAATATTGCTGGCGTCTGATGGGATAACCGGGTAAGTAATAGTGAGGTTAGACGCAGGGTACTAGGAAATGATGGTAAATCAGTTGATGAGGTTATGAATCTTCATTGACTGAGATGGTTGGGCCACGTGTTACGTATGCCTGAACACCGATTACCACTACGTGCAATGCTAACCGGTGTCGGAGATGGTTGGAAGAAAGTAAGGGGCGGTCAAACCAAAACGTGGCATCAGTGCTTGAAGACAGTAACTTCTAGTCTGAGCCATGTTGGTAGATGCAGACTACTTGGTTGGGGTCCGCGTGACTTTCGCAACCAATGGTTGGTGACATGGCTCAGAATCGATCACAATGGCGTCGGTGTATACACTCCCTGTCTTCCCTTAAACTAAGAGATTAAAATCACTTCAAATCTTTCTTTCTACTAACTAATTCTTTCTTCCTATACTATATCCTTATTGCAATCTTTCTCCTATATATTACCACCTTTGACCTAACCACTCCTATGAATCCGGTGTTCATCTTGCTGTGCTAATGCGGTATGGCAACTTGGGCCGATGCACATATGTGCCTGGTCCTACGTTGTAGCTGACTGACTGACTGATATGTCAATGTTCATTCATTATCAGTGGTTCATAATTACCTTGCTTGCCATAAGTCAGTTAGTTACTTATTAAGCGAAACCATTTTTAGTGAAGATATCTAGTTGGTTTGATGCCTGTAACTTCTACATCTAACTGATGGACCTACAATTTTCTATCGATAACGTTTATGTGTAACAATTCCACTGTGAATTAGCCCAAGAATTCAAGTTTTAAATGTAAATTTAACACACCTATGTTGTACAAAACAGTAATTAATGTAAGTAGTTCATATGAGTTCCATATTTAAGTATCGGTTAGGAATTTCCTCGCCTAAAGCTTCATAGGAATGTGATTCATTTATGACTTTTTGTTTGCGAGTTGACACTATCAAGTTGTTTGAAGAATTTTTAACCACACATCTAGTAATTATGAAGAAATATTTTAATTTCGTACGTACAATCATATTTTTTTAGATATTATGGAATCGAACAAAATTATGATTTCCCATTGAATCTTGCTGAAGTAACTTATCTCAAAAATTCACATCACTTCTGCTCATTTATTAGATGGAATTTATTTCCGTAGAATATATACAAAGTCAGATAAAGAACCCTAAAACTGTTCAACGTTTACCATAAATTCCAAGAGTAGTGCTTTTAAAAATTTACTTTATGTTAAGTTATCTTGTCTTTTTTCTAAACAGTTGACACACAGGATTGTTTTGGATTGCCAGAAAAACCATTCATTATCTTTGGTGCAGTAGTTTCACATACACGTGCAATCGGCAGAACTCTGTGTTATTTCCAACCGTCAGAACAAAATCAGTATTTGAGTATTTATCCTACGAAATTAGTATTACCTAGCCAATTTGGAACGTGTCCAGTTATACAGATCAAAGAATTCACATCTGTTAGAGATGAACTAATTGATAATAGTGACGTAAATATGATTATACCAATGAAAGTCCCTGATGATACTAAGTTAATTGTAAGTGTTTATTTTGGTAGCAAAAATAGTTTTACAGGTCTTATTTTCTTGTTTATTGGTCATGTTTCAGGGTAATTTCATTTCAAAACATACCTTAATATATTGTATTTCTGATGTTTGTTTAAAAGACAGATAATTGATTAAGGAAGTTTTGCCGAAAACGCTCATTTGTTTCACAAATGTAATCTGAATTTCCAAGTTTCATTATAAATTATGTAGTGATATTTACTCTTTAACTAAATTCCAGTCGATTCAATAATCCAACTGAGGACCTTAGAGTTTTATCCTCAATAAAATGTCTATTTTCTACAAGATCAAGTACAACAAAAGCATTGCATAGATCTATATGAAACATTTTCTGACAGTCTATAGAAGCATATTTAATTAAGCTATTATAAAACCGAATAAAAATAAGTATGAAATCTACCGCTTTGATTCTACATCTTACCCTTGCGAATTCTACAGTAAAGATACCATAGAAAAACAGTCTATATTCTATCTTGTTCAGAGCTCACACAACAATAATTTATGATTCAAGTCTTAACGGGTCTACTTGGTTAATCAGTTGAACATAAGACTATCCCTTCAATCCATAATCTGTGAATAAGCACGCTGTAACTCCACTCTAAAAATACTAAATACTGATAGCTTAGTGTTGATCAAACTTGATAAAAGTTCTGGTGTTGATCTAACGAATAGATCTTAATACATAGAGAAAAATTTTTTGAGTTCGAAGAATTAATACGAATCCTATACTGCGATTCAAAGTAATAACTATACTGCAACAACAAAGAGCCGTATGACTAGACAAAACTGAAGAAGTACATATGCAGAGAAGTAATTGATCTTGCTTTATCAGGTAATTTGTAGGGTTTGGAAACAATGGGTACTGAACTCGAGCTTTAATGTGAATATTAACACTGAAGCGAAGGTACAGACAATCGAAGAATTTCAAAGAAGATGAAAAATACTTATTTCCCATGGCCAGCCAATATAATATCTATAGCCTAGATTACTTATGTAATATTGAATATCTATTTGGCAGCGCCTTGACCAAATACTTTTCCTTCTTTTTCTGTGTGTATTTAGTTTCAAGCCAACTGTACGAATTATCCATCTATGCTGGATAAAGTCGTGCATACATCATCATCAAATCTAAAAATACAAATTTTATTTGACCCAGCTAATTCCGCTGCATCAGATGTTACCTATCAATTTGTAATATCATCATACGGTAATTTAAACTATTTCGTTATCTATTTACATAATAGAGTTTGTGAATCGATCAATAATTAGAGAGATAGCTTCGACTAATTCGAAAATAACCTATCTAAGCATTTCATTTTTTGTCTTCTAATTAAAAAATAGGTAAAAACTCTCTTCTAATGCTACTCGATACTACGCATATACCTTATACCCCATCACTGATTTTCTGCACTCAGTCAGTCATAAGTAACGTAAAACACGGAAGGCATGTAAATCATGTTCAATTCGCAACGTCATATAATCACAACAAGATAAAATCATTAAAATGAATATGAAAGTAGTAGACGCATTTGTAAAGTCGATTGTATTAACAATTATTATTGAGAATACTAATCGAGAAGAGAGAAGGAATTCTCAGAATGAAAAGTAGAAAGAAATTTTAAGCTCACAATTTAGAAGACTGATGGTAAATTTATCCACTTAGCTTTATCCAATAAACAATTAACTGCATCTTTCTGTATTTTATTTGTGAAATGGTTAAAATAATCATACTCTTTCATGTTTAGAAAATAAACATGTTTTTAGATTTATCAAAGCAAATCGTAAATATAAAATGAGTGTGCTACAACGTGATTATTGAACTGATGAAGTTATGGGATAAGTTAAAGTCTAATTGTTATTTATCAGGTTTATCAGTATGAAAGTATATGCACTTTACAGTCAGCTTGAAACGACAACAAATAAGGAAAAAATTATATAGATTGTTATTTGTGGAAATTTTTGTTTTTATCGATGCTTTAACATCAACCTGGACATCATCATCACATCTTTACGAAAACGTTTGAATATTTAACTTATATGCAAACCAAAAGTTGCGTAATCCGATTTACGGTTATTTCGCTAACCACTTAATTTTAATTAAAAGAACTGAACTTGCTTTATTTCAGATAAGATACTTCTCACGTGATTCGAATCAGGGAATCAAGCTTCTAATTTTTTCAAGTAAATAGTAAACATTGAACCATTTTAAGAGGTTATTAGTTCCATGGACTTGATTTTCCGGTTGTCGATAATCAGGACCACATTACTCAGTTTGTTTCAAGACTTATACATTTTGATAAATACCTTCGCATTACCTGCATTCACATCTCGGTTAGATTTTGGATAGTAGTTGGCAATGGAATCTATGATAACCGCCCCGTGTTTTGTTATTTTCGATACAGGGTTGGAGACTCATTGGAACCATGAATTTGGGATACATATTTATTTAGCTGTTGATTCCTAAATAAAACAGATCATCTATCCATAATTTCAATGTTAAACACTGTTCTACATTTAATGTTTACCACATAATATTATGGGAATATTCGATTATCAAATAAATGGTAAAAAAGTGAAAAATTTCTGTAATTTCTGGGGTTTTTTTAGCAGGAAGTTTGACTTTTAAAGACGAGTCACCAACGTTGTATGTTTGAAATTATTAGTCTCTTTCAGCAAATAAATGTAAATCACATAGTCCTGTCTTTTTTAAGCCACTATCAACAAATCTACTAACTCCACTACTGTATTCACCTCACTATCAATAGGCTATTTCAATTTTTTTCACACTTTCGATCAGCATATCAGGAAGTCAGATAACTAGGTCAAGCATTTTTATCATTTGAATAAGCAACATAAAATGCAAAGTCACAGCACACTTTGAATTATGAATCTTTGTAGTTGCATAACTAGGATCTGTGTACTGGTATAGCCCTGTTAATATATCACGCGATACGATAGCTCATTAGTGTCACCAACCTACTTACCGGACCAATGACGCCTAAGTCAGCAGGAGCAGCCGAGAGTCACCTCTGAGTTCTTATTGGTTCTTGAGATAGTAGCTTTTCGTTTAACCCAGTTTAGAACACAAATATCAGCCTCCGTTCCATCGAACCACATATATTTCAAGCATACTTGGTTTATATACAAGTAAATCAGACCACAGCACACCATAAAATAGAAAATAACATTTGTACAAGAACAAAAAGTGGCTGTGATTGTGAGAAACTGTGACTAATAGATTAAAAAGAACTTGAGAACAGTAAATCGTATAACAGTAATTAATAGGTCAAATAAAAACTTGTAATAAAATGAATATAATTATAGACATAATATCGTTACTTAATAGGTTATACAATAAGAAAATATGCATAATATTAGTCCATAAATAATTCCTAACGGTTATCATTCATTTATTCTCGTTCGAATATAACAAAATATTCGTTTAAATTATTTTTAAACTAGTTGCACATCACTATTTTATTATCGATTTTCAACACAAAAATCTTAAACAAAATTTATTTAACTTTTAGAAATTTTTAAAAGGAAAACAACAATTGAAAAACAACTAATTTCATAGGTCGCTACTATGAGTCATTTCGTCTGGTTGTTATTTAAAAAAAAACGTTGATCATCTGACTTGGATATAAATTTTTTAAATATTCTGATCACTAAAACATGAACTTTTTCATGAGAAGCATATGTATGAATTTCCAGATACATTTTATCATATTAATAAGAGTCTTATTTAGTAAATTTCATAAATATTCTTTGTGCGTACAATAGTACGCACATATTACATGAATCATTCTATTGCAACATTAGATGAATAATTTACACTTACATGATTCAATCAGCGTTGTAACGAAATGAGAACTGTATATTAAATTTGTAATTAAATTTATAACACCCTACAAGTAAATATTATATTTTATTGTAGACTACACATGATAAAATTATGTGTAATTACTATTGTACAGTTTAAAAAAAATGCCATTGTCTGAAAGAATATTTCCTTTACTGAAACTTCTACATTCTTTCTATTGTTTCATTGAATTCATGAACCGATCAATGATAGGTAACCACTGAAAATCTAGAAGCACTAGACGGCCGTTTTGTCCTAGTAAGGGGACTCCTCAGCAGTGTGAATTCACAAACATGTATGCGGTATTCGAACCCAGGACCTTTAGTTTCGCTCGAATCATTCAATTGTTCTTAGCTTATATGGTGTAAGTGTAAAGAATGTCTCATTGATAACTCTCTTAAAAAGGGGTAATTTTTCACCTATTGTTAATTAGGTTAATTTGTTTTCAGGCAAACTAGTATCTATGATCGCTATAAAATTGTATTTATTTAGGATGAACTTCCCAATTTCGCAAGATTCGTTTGCATGGAGTATATTTGCCATTGAAAACTTGTACTACACCATTTTGGCATTATGCATATTTTATCTGTGCGACAATTGAGTAGTTTTAGATTTCCCCTATTTCTATCTCATTTGTACGTCTGGTGACTCAGTTGATATTTAAGTAATATTTAAATTTCTTCTTAGCGGGAGAATTTAGAAGTAACTACACATAACTGAAAAAAACTTAGTCCAGTGTCTGCATGACTGGTGATAATGAAAATTACTATTTTTTATTGAAATACAGTGTTATATCCGAGCGAAGATTAAATTACGAATAACTTCTGAGACATATTAATGGACTAATATTATTTATATATTCTTATGGTATAACTTTTCAATAATTAGATTATGTATATTTATATTCCTCTTATTATAAGCTTTATTTTGACGTGTGATTTATTATTGTACGATTTACTGTTCTTAAGCTATGTTCAGTTTATTGACTACTGCCTCCCACGTTCACAGCCACTTTTTGGCTTTATTGTGTATGAATGTTATTTCCTATTTTATGGTGCGTTGCGGTCTGTTTGGTTGATATATAAACCCAGTGTGTCTGAAATAAATGATTCGATTCGCATAACGGAAGCTGGTATTGGTGTTCTGGACTCAAGTGGACAGGCTAAGCGGACATAGGACTAATAAGGACGCTAGGCTGCCCATACCAGTCGAACGTCATTATTTTGGCACAGTGCTAAGATTGTATAAGTCGTATTTTGATTGGTGGATAAATCACGTGATAAGAGGCCGGACCAAAAGTCACAACATACAGTATTATTTCTTGCAATCTTTTTCATTTAATTCTAGTAATTATTATCAGTATTTCATTCACAGTTTAATAATACACCTTAGTAGGTCTGTCAATCCCTAAAACTTTTCTGTTATTAATGCACAAGAGTTAGAGTTCCCAAAATTAAGATATTTTAATCATATGACAATATATTCTTTGATATTAGTTGATAATGGTTATAAAAAACTGTATTTGAATTAGCCGTTTGTACAAGCACATTCAAATGTTGCTTTTGAGTAGAATAATACTATTAAACATAATGGATCAAATGAATTCTTTGTACTGGTAAACAATGTTTATATCTCTAGTTCATTTTAAGTAACATTACAACGCACTTTCATGCTATTTACTATCACTACTTGCGTCTATGTGATTTCATTATATGTACTATTGCTTTGATAATAAGCAAAACGATTATGTCGACATCCAAACGATTTCCTAAATTCTTAGTTATAATAATTTACTGGCATATTTGTTTTATATTTCGGATTTTGTTAGCATTTCATATCAACTCACCTTAATTCTCGCTATACACTGTTGAACATGTTTGGACAAGCGTTCAACATTAATTACTTTAAGCCTTATACAGCGTTGATAATTAACATTTTCGTCAATGAACAGTTAGCCCATTAACATAGAAGTTAAGTACCATTAATTGTCTTATTTCATTATTAGTTAACGTCGTTTACCCCTAGATTTGAATTTTCCAAATAGATGGACCGACTGAAACCTACGATTAGAACCATCCAATGAAAATGAGGCATTACCCATAGAACTTAACCAATCAAAAAAGGAGGGATATTAGGGAAATAAAGACTGCATAATTGGCCTGGATCACATAATAAGAAAGATCGAACCAATCATATGAGTAAATTTCTAAAAAAAAAATAGAAAGGGTAGAAATTTATAAATTTCACTCCCCAGCACCCCATTCCGTACGAAACTTGTCAGCCTTCACCCGGAAAAATGAATCTTGTTGAAAATTCGTTTTATTTGTCTCAAGTTTATAGACCTTAACTATAGTATGAAGTTCAACAATGTGAGGTAGTTACCCACCGAAGACAATAGAAGATGGTTGCTCAATATCTTGAATTGGTGGTCCAACATTGATGGATTCATAATCTCAATTAAAACTCAATCTCCACAATCCTATACTGATAAATACTGAATAGAATTTAATAAATCCACCTATATTTTCTCTTTTTGATCAGAATAAAACTATAACTTAATCATTGCTTGAATAATGCCTGACGTATTATTGTATTCAAGTAGTATGGTAGCCGTGTAATGATTTCAGTCTGAAATCTAGTATATTTTCATACAACCAAATGTTTTTGTCATAAAAGGTAAATTGCTAACTTATATATTAATCATGATGGGTTTTTTTCAAAAGTATATGATGGGATTCAACCGGTTATCCACAAAAACGGATGAAATTAATTGCTTCTATTCGACCAATACGAACTGCCAGTCCCGTGTATAAAATTAAAAGCAGTCCATTCATTTGTCACTATAATGACATTATATAACTTGTCCCACTGACAAAAAATTACATAATTAAATACATTTTTACATTAGCAGGAAGTTCATCTCAAAGGATAATTAACTACTTATCAGTTATTGTTATATAAATTTTATTATTAATCGCTTCGTTAACTTCTTATAATTGACATGAATTAACAGTTTTAGGACCATCATATAACTGTCCATCAGATACATTTCGTTGTTGGGATGCGGCTACTAATTGCATACCCGATTCCCTGACATGTGACACAATTGCAAATTGTCATGATGGATCCGATGAAAATGGTTATTTGTGTAAGTGTAGTATAGTAGTGAATATTTCTCTCATCTTTTTACTAGTATAGTTTACTTAATAAAATTCGTAATGATGTTATGAAAAAAACCCATAATTCTAATCAATATTTTCTAGTGTTGGATGGATTATAGTCAGTTTGTTAAATAAAAATATGTTCGAATCAAGTTATTCTATGAATATTTATAGATTAATTTCGATGGGTCCTCGTCAAAAAGGTACTCACATTATTGATTAGATGCGTGGAAAGTATTACGAATTTGCCAACTGAATTAATCAAGTGCTACTTTACGCATTTATGACTCTCACATCACTTCTGACTTAAAGATTATGTCATCAACTAGTGGAATGTTTTAAATGATAAATTGTGTACTCGTGGAGAAAAATTGTTCGACTGCTAATAAATATATCCTTCTAATATTCAGATTAGTTTTAACGAAATGCTGAAGTTGATCTTCGTTAATTATTGATTGCCATGAATACCTTGGTATATATTGTTTGGTGTTGAATGAATGTTAATGAGCAAATGATGTTTTTCAAGCCGTTCAAATAAATCTCCCTTCATTTAGATCGAACTTCAACCTTCTTACCCCTTAACTAATTGGTATAATGATTGCCACTGATCCAGATCCATGTATACAGCTCTTAAATTATGTAAATCTGATCGTAATTGTGTAGTTTATTGACATTTCACGTTCATGTTCAAGATCGATCATTTCTTTCTGTATTTCATTCACAGAATTGGAAACTACTCAGCTTATTAGGATTTGGCTAGGTGTGTAGCTTTATTGGATATTCTTCCAATTCGAAACGAGTTCCATAAATAATTTCCTGCGCAATGGAAGAGAAAAATGTCTCGTAAGGAAGATTTGTTTTGGTAAAGACTCCAGAAGATTTAAATCAAAACCAAGTTTATAGTGATCAAACTTAGTGGTTATTAATCATAGAAATTATCAAGCTGAACAACCAGTACTTGAACGCGAAATACCATTGAATATTATACTTAATAAAGCTAAAGTGAACGAAAAATCATAATGTATCAGTTAATAAAAATTGTTATGTTGAGTAGAAGTTTACATTGAATCAATTCAAGGTCAAATGAACAGAAATCCTACTTAAAATTAATACATAATCTTTCCCTTAATTAGTGGCTAATAGATTATATTGAGAGATTTAAGATCCACAATATGACTATAAAAAAAGTTAGTGATTAGACGAATTTTTGAATTTTTTCCATTCAACATAGGTACTGGAAGAATCAACGGTATCCCTATTCCATTGTTTGCAATTATTATAACTAGTAAGTAACGGGTTGAAATTAAAATAAATAATTAAACATAGTATTCTGACATTCAATAATTCTGTCTGTTTGTTTTATACCTTCTTTATTTGGATAAAAAAGCTACAACTGATAGTAAGAAGGACAGTACAAATTAGATTTCAACTCCTGATATGATAAGCTTGAGTTCTAGTAAACGATAATTCAGTCCAGGAAATTATAATTGAAATACTAACTTTGTTACAATAAGACCGTAATGTACCGTATATATATATATATATATATATATATATATATATATATATATATATATATATATATATATATATATATATATATATATATATATATATATATATCATTCGTTTGATGGTTACATAATGACTTATTCAGCTCATTGATAACTGAATCTGTTAAACATTCACGTTGCATTTCAGGATATAGCTGTATCAACTTACTCATACTTTAAAATTTACAAAATCCCCATATCGTGAATCAGAATAACATTCATATTATTCAGACTTTTTCGAATTCCTATTAGTTTACGTATAACAGAGAAATCCTATTTAAAATATATTCACATAATTACGTACAGTAGTAATATATGCTTCTATGTATCATGATCTTTTGAACACTAATCAATCTTTGTTCAAACTTCGTTTCATGTACCCTATTTCTAAGTTCTATTGTAAATTATTCTGAAAGCAATCCTACAAGTTAGTTGGTGTTTTGCAATCACCAGGACACTACTACAACTAGTATCCAGTTATCATTAGCATAACTTGAGAAAACCACTGTGTGGGATATAAATTTTTAAATAGAGTATCAATTCTCAGGGATTCGTGGGTCCAGTATATAGATATTACTGAATTGCCACATAGTCTACAATAATAATTCAGTACTTATCTTCGTTCCAAAGGATACATCATTGTTATCTCAGTTATGAGGTATCGTAACGAAGAATACCAGTGAAGTACCTAATAAAATAAATTAACTAGTATTTAGTACCGCTATATTTGTTATTCTCACAATCCAAGTCACTCTCTATGGGGATATGCAATGTATTATTGTTTACTTCAGTTAACTGAGTTTAAATTCTATGCTTTAAAACAATTTATTTTACCGATCACCCTACTGATTTATAGTAAATATCATGTTCTCTTCTGTATTATTCTAGTATCAATTTTTGGACTTATTCTTTTGGTTTTAACTATTGTATTTGTTATTCGCAAACAAAGGAAGCATAAGCGCAAAACAGAGCAAACGTAAGTTATGACGATTACACCATGTATGTTTTCGTAGTAAACATTTAATATCCTTTATTTGATCAGCAGTATTTTATTTGTCTTAAAAATGACGTCAGCTGTATTATGATTTTAAACTGATTTTTTTGAAGCTGTAGTCGATAACATTTTCCAGCTGAATAATGAAAGCATCTTTCATCATTATAAGACGGTGAAACGTTCGAAAACTTATCGACTTCTAAGTAATTTTAATCTATTTCTAACACAAGATTCATGGGATAGGCTCTATTTTTCATCAGTGTTATTCTGTATTATACAGTTTCATGAAGTCTAAAAGGATGAATAGTTAAATTAACTTCACAAAAACTCCGTGATTAATAAACTTCAGGAAATAATGGGTGTTTGTATATTAAGAAAGAAATTCCTATTCAGGATTGTAAAGGTCATGATGTAAGTGGTAATCTAGAAAATCTTTCGAGTTGTGTTTAGAAAACAATACCATTTAACCGTTGAGTCAGAATCTAACAGTTGATATTTTCAAATTCAGTTAGTGTTGTTATATAGCGCAAACGTTCATCTATTATCACAAGTGGGAAAACTCGCTTGAGAATGAAGATATTCGTTGCTCTTTAGTTCCCAAGCTTCTTTAGCTTTAGTGTGCAAGTATATGAAAAGTGACAAGGCATCTTTTTTGCATAAAGCCGAATTCCTAGAATACAATATTTGCAAATGCCATTTCTCTTGTCAATAAAAATGGTTGAAACCAACTAGGGTCAACAGGTAGGTGTCAGTTGCTACGATAACAAACCAATAGGAGAAGCTATGCAAATGTGTAATTGCACCGTTTTAATGGTATTTCCCGATTACGATTCACAAAAGTTAGGGACAGGTTAAATTGTACAGTGGGAGATTGATACATTGACTTAAAGAGTTTACACTGTATAAAAATGTGCAACCAACGTATATTTGAACAAATGAAATCTTATCAGTAATTGGGTCCTATCCCCATCATATTTTTCTCACGAAAATATCCAATACAATACAAGGACAAAAATTTACAAGGTGCATCGTTTTGCAAAGATAATAATGCCATTTTCCGGGACAAATTTATGGACTTAATGATCTATGCAATGGTCGTCCATAACTAGTAAGAATCATGATTGAGATTAATGATACTGGGAAACTTGAATTCGTTCTCTAGCTAAAACAGATAAAATATTCACATTCTAATTATGTTGGAATTATTTCCTCATATAAAATAACCACATTAAAATTATCCTTGGCAATACCTTTCGCTCTACAAAACAATGTTCCAGACAAGGCTGATGCTGGAAATTCTAATTTTTCGACTTTTTGCTGTGAACTATGGAAGAACAGATTGTAAAGACTTGCTAAGTTTGTTTGCAGCGTATTTTATCTCGTAGATGCGGTTAGCCAGAGCTACAGGTTGTTCGAAGTATTAGCTTTTGTATGACCAGTAGTTTGGACTACACAGTAGAATACTACAATTTTTAACTTTGTTCCTTGTATCATATAAGTCTGACTTTTTAGTATGATAGCTTCAAACGTCAATTGTTCTTCACGAAGTAACCACCTCCATTGCCCGACTTCAAACGTGCATGAAAACAGACCTAAAGACTACTATAATGTAAGATTTATCGCCATTGAGAAACAAGTTAGTCAATACATTTCTTCTATGAAATCAGTTCTCTAGTCTTTAGTGTAAATCTAGACAGATTGTGGAAAGATATTGACTACTCAAGATTTCTGGACTTCACTGAAATCACAAACCCATCTAAGTTAGATCACCAGTGAAGCCCTGGACGGCCGTTTCGTTCAAGCATGCGACTCTTGAGCAGTGGGTATCTAAGATCCCACAACCGGGAATCGAACCCAGGACCCTCGGCTCACTGAACCCGGATCCAGTGATGTAATAGTATAACTTCAACCAATTCATGATTTTGCGCGACCATCTCCCATTACCTTTAATGGGTACCTTCTTTACACCCGACATAGCTTAGCTCCACATCTTCCTACTATAACCCCGGTAATCCGCCGACACGAATATAAACCATTATGTCGAAAGTTGTAAACTACCTGATTCGGGTCCGCTTGGGTATTGTAAACAATGGCTAGACTTTGGATGAGATGCCTCAAAACCTTTCGTGATGGTACAGTTGTATTCACTTTTTGTCTTGTTACAGAACCTGAGTTCAGAGATTCCCTTATACTTTACCCATCTTTTTATATACCCAATTTTTCTACTCCTTCGGGATTTGTCTTGATAATTTTATCCCGCTGTGTTACTGTGATGATGGTAACTCAAAGCAATGGACATACATGCTAGATTCTAAGTTACACAAGACTAACTGACTTTTCAACATTTTAATTTTAGGTGGATAGATATGACTACACAACCTTCAGCTAAGGCACATCAATGTAAGTCCATTATATGTAATAATCCCAATCAATTATTGATTTACAGTGAAAGGTAATTTAGCAAAACCTGAAGAGCATCATTCTGAATAACAATCCGTCTATTAAGATGGACAGTGTGTAGATTTTCTGCAATCAGAATATTGTTTACAAGGGCTGATATCAGGAAATTGACAGAAGTTGGAAGTGTGTACTACTAAATCTCGACTGTGATCTACAACTCGAGTAGATAGACCCAAACCTCGGTTTTGAGTTCAGTCGGTAGCGGGATCTTACGTACTGTCGTGCAGCGTTGTATGAAACAGCCTTCCAGTTATTGTGAGGCCAAAATAAATCCATATGATCTATCCTTGGACCTATTGTTTTTTAGAAGTTCATCATTCTAATGACTCAAGTTCGCCGATAACCAAGAGAAAAATAATCATATAGTTGTCATGTCTTTCACTAGCAAGAAGGAGATTGCGCTGGATGGCTAATTTCCTAGAGACTAAGTACCCTTATCTGGATTCTCACAGTAGTCCTAGATACCTGCTACCAGTAATTTAATCTGCAGGTTTCTTAAGAATCATTTGGATTTATAATTTGAAATGTAACTACTGAACAGTCTCCATAAATTTGACAAACGATCCTGGTGTCCTATCACATCTTTAATACGTTCATGTTGTGCTATTACCTCGTTTTTTATAGCTCTGCTTACTGAGAGAACATGACAAACTGACCAAAAATTCGAAACGATTTGGATGCGAAGAGAAATCTGCGCAGTCACAATTCTGCGACAATAAGTAACTCTTACTTTTATATCGGTGTACATAACTCACTTTACTTCAAGAGAACACTACTTGTAATCAATATACATGTAAAAAAATGTCTATACTTGTAATATCGTTGAGTTTCTATAACTGATTTTTATGTCTAATGCTAAACGGTGATAGTTTATCTGCTTTCATATGGTGGTAGACATGTCGATTTATATCTAGATACTAAATATAATTAACTTGTTCATCAGTTATGATACTTACCAGTTGCCCAAACCAAAGATGGTAGAACTGAGCTGTGACTTAGGAACTCAGTAAAATGCCTTGACTACCAAACCAGCGCTCCATGTACTCATTTACCTAAGATTCTCAAGCTTTCCTGAGTTATTCATCGCTAAGCATTTACTTCCTTTTTATAAAAACAAACTACTTGCAATATATAGCAGACTTTGCATATCTACAGGTAGATATATTGCCTTTAAATATTACCATCCTACGGATGTTAAGCGCGATCTAATACATTAAAGGATTTTTGCAGTTTGCCAGTATCTGGCCGAAAATCTACTAAAAAAATAGAACAATGTTTATGCCGTGTATAGATCTAGGCAACAGTAGTAAATCTGTTGTAAACCATTATCTGCCGGTATTTAAATGTCTAGTTGAGGTCTTCCTGGTGTGTTTTACCAGCTGGTATAGAAAACTAGAAACGAATTAAATAAGACCCAATATTTTCTTGTTTCAAGTTGTACAAGTGTATCTAAGCACCTCAGGTAGATCCTCTACAAGCTTAATGGAATCACCATGTTGAAGTACAAAAACAGGAATAATTTTATCAGATAAACTTTCGTTTATATAGAAAAGTAAAACATGAGTTAATAACTAGATTTTACAATTAAACATATGAGCAAATGTCTGCATGACCAGTGCAATTAAGTACACAAACAAGGTTTCTGGTTAGAAGAAAATAAAGACATTTACTACACTATGTACATGAGTCCAAATATGATCACAAGCAAAGTATTTCACTTGTTAAAGCATGTTACTGTTGCAAATTCGCCAACATAGATTGAAACCTACTACGAAGAAGCATTGAAACGTCCAAGTAACGTTCTGTACAGTTTTCGATACAATTTGCTTTTTTCGCATCCATTTTCGAAGACGGGTATCCAACAGCACACTTATCCCAACACACAGAAGTCAGATGATTGACATGATTCTGAAACTCCGCTCTTTGTTGTATCGTTTGTATGAATGTCTGCAATTCCTTGTCTACCCCATCCGATTCTCGTGAAGAAAGAGCAGATTCGTAGCTGAAAAGTTGCGTTTTATAACTTTTATCTGACCCAAACATGAATTAGATGCAATGCACTTTTTACAGAATATATAAATGTCAAGTACTAAGGTCAACATAAATCCTAACAATTCAATGTGTGGAATTCTAGATCCAAGTAATAATTAGAGCTTTCGATTAACTGGACACTAAATTTCGAATATGAGCTGTTGCCAGAATTTTCTTGTACCTATATGAAAACCTATCCTTGATGGTTTTAGTAGAACTACAACTGTTTAAAGCAAAGATACGTCAGACATAATAAACCGAAGGAACACTGAGACGTCTCAATACAAAGAGCACGGGACTAATCATATGCGAGTTGGAAATTGGGCTGAAAGATTTATATATATACAGCATTCAATAGCGAGTACAAAAGACATTGAATCACACCATAAATATACTAGCTTTTCTTTAAAACCTTTATCAGCAACTTACAACTGGTTTGTAAATAAACACAAAAACAAAAATAGGAAATTTATATAACTTAATAGTCGGGATCAACCGTAGTAGAATCACGTATTATTTGTTGCAATTTACTAGATAAACTTTGTCATGTCAACATAACTACTCGGAACGCATATATTTAATATGTATATTGTGACAATCAGAAAACCGAAGTCCAAGATTTCTTTCCATTATTCGAGAGTTGAGAAGTGTTCTTTACATTAGGTATTAATTAGAGGGTAGGTGCAAAAGGAGATGCACCTCTAACCAAGAGTGAATAAACAGAAATGTCAAGAGCGACACGATAGAAGAATAAAGATCTGCTTCTATGAACTACTTCTCTTCACCACCCCTTGAAAGTGAACTATTTTAATAGTTCACTCTGATCCAATATGTAGGGCGAAAAAATATTAAAAATATTATTTACTCTTTCCTGTTAGTTTAGAAACAAAACCTAATTAGATTCTACAATATACATCATTAGTGTACAAGAAGTTTATCAATCTTAGGAAAGAAAAACTCTACGCAGAAAAACCTACTCGAACGACATGTATGATAAGAGGGGAAGGAGGACTCAAGGTTACGATTGGAAACACTAAAACGAGCGGGTTATTGTTGTGGGTCAGTTTGGTCAGATGGCATTTTTTGTTCAGGCATAGCATGCAAAGTAGTGTGAGTGAGAAGGACTGAGGATAGAAGCGGAAAAATTGGAGACCTAGCAATCTCATATAATGCATTTACATTTAGTAAAGAAAGCAATAGATTGTAGTCAGCAGTGAGAAAAGCCTGAGGATAAAACTGTCTTGAAGTCAAAAATAAGAGCAAATAGTTCAATCCGCTGCATTAATAGGTGTTAGATCTATTCATCACTCTTAAACTGTGCTCATTACTTCCGATATGTTTTCATTTAATTCTATTATATTCAACAAATCGTGAAAACTAGAACGTCGTGCTGAATAACTAGGAAACTGACCTTCGAGAATTAGGAGGAAAAAATAATCACGATAATCTCTTGAGAAGATCCAATCAACTTTCGATGTGTTAACGGGTGGTGATATTACAGCGCTCCGGATAGTTTTGGTTGGAAGGAGCTTCAGTATCTTGTAGCGGTGGACCTTGAATCGTGGTATGCCAACACTCCAAGATGTTTTTTGACCTGACGTTCCATCTCTTCACCACCGTCAGCAAGTTGGTTATGCAAGAGTGACCTTTCCTGAGACCGTGCTGTTGGGGTAAAAGAAGTCTACGGCTGATGGTTGCGTATGCCATAACATATCAGAGATCCCGTAAGTTTTAGGGGTATTGTGAGAAGTGCTACCGGTTGGAATCTTGAAGGTTCGCTGAATCGACCTCTTTTGAAAATTAGTTTGATGTAAGCCAGCTTCCAGTTTTCTGGTAATGTACCCCGGCTTATCTAATGTGAGAGCACCACGCTAAGTGGTGTTGCCAAGATTGAAGCTGCTTCCATCATTATAGCAGAATGAACCATATCTCAACCACAAAAGGTGCTGTAGTTTCCGTTGTCATCGCCATCGCTGCTGGTTAGGCCTCTAGAACTTAGCGACTAAGGAACTCCAGTTTCGGCCTGTCAGAATAAGCTTTTTGAACTGAAAAAGAATTTTTCGTTTAGCTTTATTGTCGTTTTGGATCTACTCCATGCTAGTCTAAACTGCCTATATGTGCTTTTATATCCCGCCTAGTGATGCTTTTTTGAATTCTAGCATTCGAATGTTTGATGTTTGATAACCGTACTTTCTTATAATTTTCTATAACCGTTGGCACGACAGACTGTTTTGTACCACATAAAGTTGTGTGCAGTAAGTATTACCAACGAGCGTCTAAATTAAAGTGTTGTATGTTTTCCTGTGAAGTTACACATGTGACCGTTTCAAATTTCAACACTTGTTGTCTGTAGAATGTTTTAGCTCAGTTTTGCCGTATAATTGAAGGCTATGTTGGTGTGTTCTCTTAACTCATAGGAGACAGTGTTGAGAGCTTGTCTATTGGGAATTCTTCTTTTCTAGTTTCCAATCTGAGCGTGACGGCATCTGACTGTATCTCCAGCCAGTTGCTTACTTCGAAATTTCGAAAACCGAGCATAATTGGAGTTTTCACTTCCAGTGTGTTTTCGTTCTGAGGGGTTGACTTTAGGAAGATTAAAGTCTCATAAAACAAGGTTTGAGTGCGTCTGAGACAAAAATAAGCGTGATTACATCTCTGGATTGAGATCGTCGTACTCCATGTAAGTAGTTGATATCCTATAGATGACTCAAACTGGTCATCTCGGGGTTATAGACAATCTCACCGGGCACTATGAAGTCATCAACACCGATAAACTCTTGGACAGGGGTTCTGCCAAGCAAGATCGTGGGTATGTGGCTGCTACGTCCTCCACATTCCTGTATAACTATCTTTTAGAAGCGAAAAATGCTGGGTATCGCAGGCTCCTTATCAGTATTCTGGGATGCTCATGTTTAAAATATTCCTGTAAGATGAGTATTATTCACACTCAACTTGTCAGCTTTGTTGAGTAAACTCACGACGTTGGTATATAGGCAGTTAACACCTTTGATTTGAAACGTGTGGGCCTCTACGTTTTTTTGTCTGATTGGGCTGCAATTAAACGCAACTCAATTTCGTAAATGTGCCTTTCAGCTTAGCAACCAATCAGAATGTGGCGGGAATTATTATATCAGCCATCTTTGTACGTAATGGCGGCCGGCTTTCTTCGTTCTGTGCTTCTTTTAGCTATTTCTTTTGTGTAGCTGTGTAATTAATGTTTCAATGTGCTAAGATGCCGCAGTTAGTGTAGGGTTCTACATGTTGGTGTGAAATTTACTTCGAATCAGCATTGTTTTTTGGGTTTTTGCTGCTTCTACTCTAGTCAATGTATTTCTTCAGTCAAGCTGTTTAGTCTTATGTTTTAAAATGAAAATCGGTTTAGTTTCGACTTGTTTTCAAGATATCAAAAGCCGAAGTTCGTTTTTTCTTCGCTGAAATAACTGTTGCTGCGTCCTGTGACTGACTGTCCGCATGTTCATTCCTAACTGTCCTCTATGATGTTATCGGCAAAATGAAAGGAAACAATTTCCGGTTTTTAATTTTCTTCAGTATTGCGGACAACAATATCCCACCAATGAGTCAAACCAATACTTAGTGCCTAGCCGTAGGGGATGTCAGTATTGTTTTCGAAAGTACTCAGGCTTCCGACAACCACAGATGCTACCAATCTATTGCAGAGGGTTTGTTATGAAAAAATATGCCACATAGCAGTAATGGAGGGGTTATACGCATTACGTAGTGCGTTAAAGCAAGCTTAACATTGAAAAGCCGGAAATCTGCTATCAGTGTGTAGTGTATGTTTGCTGTTTCGGCCACAAAAGGAAGCCGAAGGGTCATGATCAGGGAGTAAAAAGGTAACTAACTGTTATTAAGCTCAGCTTTTTATAGACCATAATTCACCACTCGCAAATTTGTTATTTTTACGGTATGATGTCAACCGTTATCTAATATTTTCACCTTTACGATTAAAAGTACTTGCAAATTCTCAACTTCATATTCGAATTAATTTGTGACAACTGTCTTCCAGTTTGAGTGCTTCGTACGCCCTGGGAGACTAGATTCCTACATTATTCACAGTTCCAGTATAACTTTCTCACACAGTAAGTTCAAAGTAAACACTGGTCTTTCTAAATAAGCATGTTAAGCTAATATCCGTATTCTCTATTTCAGATGATCGATGAAGACATGTACCACGTGCATCTGTTGTATATTGTTATTTTACTCCAATTCTTACTGTTATATCTTCTGAAAAATAAAATTGCTATATGCAGCAAATACAGACTTATTGTTTTGATGGTTGTAGGGGCGTTCATGGGTTTTTTAGCAGGACTGTAGTAATATTCCCACTAAAGAGCTAAGTGAGTGCGTAGACCAATGTAAAGTACCATACAGGGTGCCGTTGAATTACTCGTGGTCCATTAGTGTCGGTAGAAGCATTACTTGCTTATCATATGACATTTGAATAAGGAGCTATGAGATTAGATGCAGGGACGGTTAGGATGTGTAACGCGTGTCCATCCATCAGTTTTCGTGGCAACTCATGGTGGCTAGAATAAGTTGTGAGAGGACCCGAGCCTGTAAGTTTCCTAAGAAAGTGGCGGAGATATGCACCAAATCACCTTATGAAGAGCGCCTCCAATCACTTAACCTCTACTCATTAAAGTATAGACGTCTTAGAGGTGACCTATTTACTTACAGGATCCTTAACACTTCTGGGCATTTTCTTAAACACCTATTTGAGCTTAGTCCCAGAAACTAGAGACACGACATAGCAGAATGGACTGTAGACGCAACTTCTACTCCTTAAGAGTTGTCGAATGCTGGAATTCGCTGCCCGCCGAACTAGTCCAAGCGACTTCCCAGGAGTCATTTGGGAGGCGACTGGATCTTTTATTGTTAACATACCTAGGTTCCTGCTTGGAGGTTTCGGTGATCCCCTGCTAATAGACACGGAAGCCTGATCACATGGATTAGGTGATGAGAGGCTCGATTATCACAAGTTTCTTGCAACGATTAAGCAGATAAAACAAAGTAGCATTAGGTTCAAAAATTTATTCCAGAACTTTCATTAAGAATCGAATATGAAACAAAGGTTTAAACCAAGTTCCAGTCTAAAAGTTGCATTTGTAATGTTAAGCTGCAGTTTTTGTTGTTTTTTCCAAACGAAAGGGTAAAAGAAGTAACTCAAAAAGTACTGGAAGTGGTTGTGAGATTAAAATGGACATCCAGCATCCTTTTTATAATCTGCTGTTAGTTGGGTCTCCCGTAAACAGATCCATAGGGTCATAGTTCTAAGGGCGAAACAGTTCTTAGGATCTATGAAGACTCAGTCCTGTTGCATTCTAAATGAGAAAACAGTAGTGAATTTAGTCAGAAATGTGGAATAGATAAATAACCAAATTACATGTTTTTTAGCAAAGAATTTATGCAGTTGTGATTTACCTTTACTTCATGGATATTGGGTCAGGTCAGCTATTACTTGTGCAAAGCATAACATGAACTTAATACCGTATCTCAATGCTTTTATTATTTTGCTCTCATTTAAGTATTACCATGTATCTGCATCTAGTTTAACAGGGAGACATACAAGCAGAGTTAGTGTTTGATGAACTAAAAGTCCTAGTTGTCAAAAAGATTCTTAACATTTGTCCATAGTCAACTGCATTTAATTGAAATACAGAACACTTATCTTCTAAGACTGTATACTGCTCTTCTACGGGCAAATAAAAGCTCAGATACTTAGCTATCCTGCTACCGATGTTATTGCTGGGGAAATTGTTTAATGACAGTGATCATGAAATATGGTCAGTGATAGATGTACAATCTAGAAATAAACACCAAACATACTTATCGCTATCTTATAATGTATGACAGCAACAGTACCAAAAGCACTTTTTTCCTATTTTAATCAGACTGATTTGAATCAGTATACTAATCAGAAACAGGCAACTCTACTTACTAGGCTGATCTGTTTCGTTACAGACTTCAAGCACTATACCATAATTCTTTCAACTAAACTGAATTACACGACAACCAGGAATACTAAACTAAGCAAG